AGCGAGACATGAAACATTTCTCTGGCTGCAACAGTTCTATCACACCTCTGTTTAACAGTTGAATTACAAATTCTGTGAGGAAGGGGGTTGGTTTTTTACCCCTTTTTGGTCACACAAGAGGAGGGTGCCTCAACCAAGTCCATGTGAGGCCCCCTCTGATTGTCTTGTTAGCCCATATGGTAGAAGTCCACATGTTTTCCCAACTCCCTAGACAACCCAGCTGTCTGGCTTCATTGGGAGGGAGTGACCACTGATGTGGTGGAATAAGGTCTCCTTCCACTTCTGAACAAACGGCCACCCCTACTACGTCTTGAATTGTTTCCTCCTCTAAAGTTTCCTCTAGGTTAATAACTGAACCTAGCAGCTGGTCCTGTTCCCCTGTTAGACCTTCCTCTTTTAAATTTCCAAAAGGTCTGAGGACTCCTGGGAACAGTAACATTAATAACTTGTTCAACAGCTGATCTATACTTAACTAATGTTTGTTCATCAAACAAAGCAGGAGAAAGAGGGGAAGAACGAAGCAATAAATAAGCACTACCGCTTGAAGCATTAGTAGTGGCTTGCTTCCTTAGCTGGGCTTTAAGTTTTAGGGCCTTCAACAACATTTCCAAAAATGAGTTGTACAGGGAATATGGAATCCCTTGTATAGCAGCAGCAAAACATGTGTCTACTTCTGAACTGTCCTCATAGTCCAGCACAAACTTAGTCAATAACTGACACATCATATTGCAGACCAACTATCAGCTGCCAACTTCCTAAATTTGAATTCTTCAAGCAACAGTGTAAAAGCATCTTGTTTCAAATTTATTTCATAACTTATATCAGCATATTTTGGAGCCGACAAATACTGGGAAAGTTCATATAAGGAACTTCAAAAACTAAACTTGTGAGCATTCCTATCTGAGGGAATGAGTGTTAAGTCTTTCAATATATTAGCCCAGACTTCATCTAATTCAGAGATCATTTTGGGGCTAATATCAGGCCAAGAAATTGTAGTATCACCTTCTAGAAACAATGAATGATGACCCACAGTTGCTTGGCATTCCTGTCTCTTTGTAAGTGCTGAGAGATCAGGAAGTTTAGAAACATTTCCATAAAATACCTTGAATAAGGAATCCACAGACTCAGATGTGGTTGAAAACAAAGAAGACTTAGATCTTAACAATGTTACCCAAGGCCTGTTTGGATCATCCTTACACTCAATGTTCTCCATCAGCTGTGTGGCAGTCGACAGCACCCTGTTTCCACTCATAGTAACCAACACTTTTGCCCCAGGTGGAAGTGGTTGCCAAAATGGGGACAGGATGAAGTCAGTCTCAACAGGTTCTCCCTGCTCTGGTAACTGAACACTATGATTAGAGCCAACTTCCTCATCCTGATCCTGGAATCCACTAAAATCAGACTGACTAGGTAGAGGTGCTTGTAATCTTCCTACTGCCTCATTATCTAGAATATCCAATAACCTGCTTTTCTTAGCAGAAATAGGTTGGTCTAATTGGGGATTAAGTCTGTTATCTATCACCCATAATTCTAAACTTTCTACCAACTTGGGATCTTTCCAGTGTTTACATTTAAAAATTTACTCTGCAAGGCTTTGTTCAATCTATTTTTAATTTGGATGTGCAATAATTCTTTCTTGTCTCTTGCATCTTGATTAATTATAAAAATTTGGTCATAACAAACTGCACAATCCAATGGTGAAAACAGGTTGTCTGAGACACAGCTGCTATGAATTATGCAAGCCCAATGAGGATCTAACTTGGTAATCCAAGTGGCTCTACATTCTTGATAATTCCATGTACAGTATAGTCTGGATTTACTCGGTTTTTGTTTACACGTTTGGTTATTTACGCGGCACCTTGCCAGAATGATATGTTTTAATTAGGCGGTAAATTTCATCATTTACGCAGGTGTAGTATAATTTGTTTGTTTACTGAAGATGTTTGTTTTTAGCTCATAAAATATATAATTTACATTGCTGGAATTCTTATAAGATGGTGATTATTTTAAGTATAAACATCCTAAAATTTGCATTAGACATACAAATTTTAGATATAATTTAAGAATTTTATTAGAAAGAGCAACAATTTTATCTTTTGTCCAAAATATATGACGTTTATATTCAAAAATATTCCCTGTCTTGCAAGGAATCCAGCAATGTCAATTATATTATCCTATCTTTAGTCTGAGGTATTATTTTTTACTAAAAATGTAAGCATACTGTTTTTCCCCAAACATATATTATAATAATAATAATAATAATAATAATAGTTAACGGTTTATTGAAAGAGCTTGGCAGCCAGAAGGCTGAAAATATACAGTTACATAATTGGGGAATGGGTTTCGAATTACATATAATATACAAATAACATAAGTGATATAAATAAGATATATAATAACTAGATGGGGAAAAGCTCAAACTACAGGGCATTTCAACATACTGACAGTACAAGAAGTAGTATTTACTGGGAGTGAATACACTGGTTTATTACAAGTTATTGATAATTTTTACAATGGTTGGGACTGGGCTGTTCTTATAGCGATCAGTTCGTGCACGTACGGGCTGGATGCAGTTGTGATGTCGAACAGCAATTCTCGGGCTAGGGATCTCAGGTGATAGTAGGAGCCGGTGTCGAGGATGGTGCAGAAACTTCTTACCAAATTTGCAGATGAGGTCGTGGTGGTGGTCAGTGTAACGTTTTTCCACATTCGGCTTCGAAACACGAGGATCCATATATATTTCATTAGCCCAATAAACACGTGGACTTCTACATGCAATCGTGTTTCGAAGCCGGATTTGGTAAAACGTTACTCTGACCACCTACGTGATACGGGTAGTCCCCATTAGAGGTTCACGACGCCATAAGCTCGTTGAACAGGCTTTGTGTGAAATATAACAGAGTCTAGGACTGTTTTTTGTATCCTGGTGGTCCAGCGGTTAGCGTTCCCCAGTCATAGTCATGGGCCGTGGGTTCGAATCCTGGAGGGTTGAGGCGTTGATTATATATATATATATATATATATTTTTTTTTTTTTTTTTTTTGGGTAGATTTACATAAATTTCTTCATTTATTTTCATCCATTTACATGCACACACCATACTAAAAGAAACGTAAAAGAAATAAATGACCTTAGTGCAAAGCTGGAGTGCACATGTACTAATTTGATTACGGTACTAAAATTGTTATGTCTAGTGCGAATTACAACATGTTTATATTCAAATAAATCAGTATCTTACAAGAATCCCAGCAATGTTAATTATATTCTCCCAGGTCATTTCACTGGCATTTTAAAATGAGAGAAGCTTAGTAGGACTGTTAAATAAACACACAGACCTTCGCCTCAAACTTATCACCTCAACCCCCCACCCAACCCCTCGCTGGCTGGCTGGCTCCCTCCCTCCCTCCCTCCCTCCCACCCAGCCAGGGTTTTAGGCTTACAGTTTTTATCTTATATAATATCTCAGACTAAAGTTAGGAGATTATAATTTGCATTGCTGGAATCCTTGCAAGACAGCCAATAATTTGAATATAAACATCATATATTTTGCTCAAGAGATAAAAATTGTTGTACTATAGTGTACAGTACTGTAGTACATTTTATAAAAAAGTTTTTCAACTGTATTTTTGGGTAGAGTTACATAGATTTCTTCATTCATTGTCATCCATTTACATGCACACACCATACTAAAAGAAACGTAATAGAAATAAATGACCCTCTCTCTTCCCCCATCTGCCCAGCGTTGCTGGAATCCTTGTTAAACAATGAATAATTTTAATATAAACGTCATGTATTTTGCACAAGAGATAAAAATTAATCACCTGTATCACATTACAGTAGTGATTTAAGAGTAAGAGTGTATATGTACGTATATAGTATTCCACATACACGTAAGTATAAATGCAGTTTCTGTGATGATCGGACAACGTCCATTTCGGTTAACGTCATGTTTCCAAGAACGTATCTAGGACATTAACCGGCGCATGACTGTATGTATATATATATATTTTTTTTTATTTATTTTTTTTATTTTTTTCAGTGAAGACGGGCCCGGAAGGGCAAAAAACAACGTCATTCACTAAGTGACTTGAAAGCAGAGGATAATAGTCACTAATGATCTACCGTCTTCATAATAGAAGACGCGCTGTGGTTGCCATGTTGACCAGACTGTATAAGGAATTGACCCAAACACAATATCTGAGAGACATAAACAAAATAAAGTCACTCGATTTCCTCACCGTGCTAAGATGTATAAATACCATATATAAAATCCTCGTGGCACTTAGTATTTCAGCTATTACAACACAAATTCGCGGAACCTTCTTTGTGCGTTTTAACAGCTGATTCGCCAGGCAAGAAGATGACAGTAGCAATGCGTGTGATGGAGGGTGTGGGAGAGGGTTTTGAGAATTGCAATTAAATGCCAGGTAGTGACGTGTCCTCCTAATGTTACGTATTAAGTAATTATGAGATGTTTTAATTGCCTGTTTGATGGCCTGGCGAGTTATTGCTAGGCATTAACATACCTAGGTATAAAGCTAGACGTCGCATTCTGGATTGAACAAACAATTAATTTTCCCCTAAAATCCAAGTCTCACTCCCAGATGAGCTATTGCTGTCTCTTCTTTACAATACACAGCGGTATCAGCTGATCGTTCCTGCTTTCCATATGAAAGTTGCCAGCACTCACCATCTCTCAAGCAGTGGATTTTTGGGGATAATTTGAGTGACCCAGAGCCCCCCCCTCCTTTTTTTTTTGTCGAATTAACATTAATAAGCAAAAGATCACTATTCTGCTACCCATGCTACCCATGGCTTTCTGTGTACGCTATTAACTATGGTCACATTTCAACCAACCGCATAAGCGATAACCGCACATGCGAGAACCCATGTAAAATGAGACCCCACTGTAATGTGCAGTAAATACTTACTTTATATCTATCACATAATGATTTTTATAGTTCTGCTCATGATCTTTATATTTCTATTTTACCTAACAGGGACCATCATCATCACGAGGACGTCAGAGCCCCTCCACAGTGTCTGGCTTATCACGTGCAGAGTCAGTATCAAGTTTAGAGTTCCGTACATCTAGCATGGTGGGCACTTCACGTGGTCCGTCTCCTCTTACCATAGGATTATCTGATACTATACCTCTTGCTGTAGCTTTTCAAGAGCTATGTCATGCCTACTTTAGAGGAACAGATGAATCTAAGTAAGTAATTTAACCATTTATTATATAATTGTGTTTGCCTTTAGATGTATCTAATATGTATTTTGGTGTCATGGACTGCATGGATGACTCATTATTTTACAGTACAATATCTAAAAGTCTCCATTGACAGAGACCACTTAATACCTCAGTAGAGCAGTCAAAGACTTTTAAATAACTACAGGTATTCCCTGATCTATGATCTCCTTATCTACATATTCCACTTTAATGAAAGAGATGTATTAAGACATGGCGGTGCGCATGTTGACAATAACCAACATGCATGCTGCCAAGCGGCCAACTAGTGCACTATAGTACCAAACTATATTCCATGGTGATCGCACATGGCTGCGATCTTGTAACTTAACAATTATCGGTCAGTATTGGTGATGTAACTTATCGTCGGTGTTTTTTGTTTTGTTTTGTTTTTCCCCTTACAGTGAGAGGACAATACTAACAATCACATTGTGCTCTGTATCGGTGACTGTGAGGTGAGTTTTGTTATGTTTTTTGTGACTGTAAATTGTTTTGTCTGTTGTTTTCAACATGATGTGAGCAGTGTTGGCTGCTATCATTGTTTTTATGTTATCATTGTTTACTCTGCTTTTGTGACTGTTAAGTCAGCAGTGTAACTTTGAAAATATCTGGGAAGGCCAAGGCACCCAGGAAAACTGTCTCTCTGGAGGTGAAGCTTGACATTGTGAAGTGACATGAGATGTCTCAAAGACTGTGTGGGAGTCAGAGTGACGTCTCCACTCCACCTTCAAGAGTCCCTTTAGCCTCAAAGGGGATTTGCGATGATGACCCGGCTTGTTCTAATGATGTGGTGAGTGTTGTTTATTTGTTTTATGTATATTATTAGTGTAGGATTTATTTATTTATTTATTTTTATTTTTTTATACATGTTGATGTTGGAGTGGCTGGGAACGTATCCCATTGTACCCCATGTTATAATGATCCCATTTTACAATATTTCAACTTACGATGGGTTTTTCAGAAACCTAACTGAATCAGTAAATAAGGAGGATACAGGGCTGGATCCAGGCAGATGTAACCGATGCACTTGCATCACTCCAAAAATTCTGACCGATGCAAAGGTATCATATACATCGGTCAAATAATTGACCTGTTGGTAACGGGATCTCAATGTCAGTGTTAACCTGCATGGCTCACCAGCTTCTGATCCTAACTGTCACTCTCTGTACCTGAGTTGCAGGTTTGACAAACTGTCCTCAGGGTTGTGATAATCGGAGCAGGGCCTGGGGTGGGATAAGGTCACAGGTAAAGTTACTCTCACATCACCTCCTGACCCACATCACCTGAACTCCAGCAGGGATTCCCCTTTGAGGCATCATTGTGTGGTCACCTTTGACAATGTCAGGTAACCATGGCTGCATTAATGGTTGTGAGGGGCCTAAGGCTGATAAGAGGGAAGGGCCAATATATGTACTACTGCACCATATATTATATTCAGAAAGTGGGGGTATTTAATCTAGTATACAATAACTGTGGAGACTTGATAAACATAACAAAAGTTATTTACTTAACCTTCTTGTGATGTTGTGAATTTCTGACGAAGATTTAAGTTTAAGAAACACATATTAAGGCCAAAACTCAAGGGACTAAATATCATGAGGGTCTAAGGCTACAGCATTATTAGACTTATGGTTAATCCAGCCCCCGGTAACACATTAGCTGCCAGGATTCCTTCCATAGAACTCTGTACATTGGTCCCTTGGTTAATGAACACAATTCGTTCCACAGAGTCATTAGTTAACCGAAAATTTCGTAAACTGAATCTATTATTTCAATGGGATATTGGGTAATTGGTTCCAATTCACAGAAAAAGTACATAGAAAGTACTGTATACCGGTAAAAGAATTAACAAAACATTAAATATAAACTAAATACAGTACTGTACTGTACAGTATACTGTACAATAATAAATAAAAAACAATAGAATACTATATTTTAACTTACATTGAGGAGTGTACCGTATTTTTCAGCTTGAAAGACGCAATTTTTATGACAAAAATATACCTTGAAAATTACCATGCATCTTCCAGAGGGTTTCTTAGGGTCAACTGAAATCAGCCCCTTACAAAGACTGTTACCTCATTACATTACTTAACAATTACAAGTATTCTCTATACAGTACTATAAAACTATTAATTTAACTAATATTGTTGATATATTGCAAAAAAAAATAAAAGTAAACCCTTGCTGCTGTGTGGTTTGTTTACTAATGGCAGTGGTGCGGCAGCGCCATCTATTGAGGAATTGCTAAAGGTTGTCTGCTGGTCTCAAAGTGCAGGAATGTTTGTTTCATTATACGTAGACTCTCATATTTGGACACCTATTTGCAGTAGGCTCTCATATTTGAACACCCATTTAGACTGTAAAATCCATTCAAAATTAAAATCTTCCAAATTTAAATACAACCTCCTATGGAGAAAATTAATTTGAGTCTAGTATTTTCGATGTTCGGCTAAATTTTGCCTTATTTACCCTACTTTTTGGGCAAATTTCTACCTGTAATAAAGCAACATCCTTATAAACCAACGAAAATAACACAGATAAAGTTAAATAAAAACTAAAAACATCACAGAAAAAGTTTTTATGTTGTATGTCTTCAGCTAGAGTTGAACCTGATGACTTGACAACTTCGTCATCCAAGTAAAAACACACACAGCAACATTGGCTGTCCTTATGTTTTCAACTTTACCACCACTGGTGGGTAGAATTTTTTTTTTAAATTCAGAAACATTAAAATATATATGAACAGTAAATAAGTGTTGCTTTCATGTCCTTATGTAGAGTAATGACGATATGTTTTCGCATGTGCTAACTTACATACGCGATCTCACTTTTTTCTTTACCATTAATGGTTAACTACTTCGATTGTTCCATTTATGAACACTAAATTACATTACTACAAACAACCAAATAAATTTTTTTACATTAATTTTACTACAGCTACAACCGGGGTCTTATTTTCTTCAGTTTTGTATGTAGAACCAATCAGTCTCTGGTTTTGTAAACAACGAAAACAATGGCGTCTCGTCTCCTCATGTGTTTAATATTCTACGTATTATTAGTGGGATATTGTATTGTTCATTTTGCACACATAAACAATAATTCAATAAAAAAAAAATCAGAAACATTAATTAAAATATATATGAACAGTAAATAAGTGTTGCTTTCATATTCTTATGTAGAGTAATGACGATATGTTTCACATGTGCTCACTTACATACGCGATCTCACTTTTTTCTTTACCATTAATGGTTAGCTACTTCCATTGTTCCATTTATTTACATTAAATAACTCTACTTAAAACAACCATATTAATTTTTTTACATTAATTTTACTACAACTACAACTGGGGTCTTATTTTCTTCAGTTTTATATGTACTGTAGAACCAATCAGTCACTGGTTTAGTAAACAATGAGCTGTTTTTTTTACTTTCATTTTTTTGTTTTTAAATAAATATTTTTTGTTTTATTTAGACGTTGTTATACATGTTTACCTTTGCTTACCTTCTACTGTTGGAAAATATTTCCCGTCATTGTCATACCGACAAAAACAAGAGAAAGAATGTAAACACTACAGCCCCCTAGATGCAGAGGTGACCAGGTGTATAAAATGAGTGCTGTATTAAAGATTTCACCTTCTTATACAGTTTTACCCCGCTTAACGCGCTTTCACTTAACGCGTTTTCGCATATACGCGGTGCCTTGCCAAAGCTGAACTTTCACTTAACGCGGGTTTTTTCCACATATACGCGGTGAGTGTCCGAGACGCTATTTTTAGATTTGCCCCACCCGCCACCCTGCCTGACTGCCTGTTTTAGCTCATAAAATTCATACAAATTACCAGGCCAGAATATAATTTACATTGCTGGAATTCTTATAATTTGGTGATCATTTTGAATATAAACATCATATATTTTGCTTTAAACTTACAATTTTTAGATAAACATTTTTCTCTAGGTAACTATGGTATCTTTTGTCCAAAATATATGACATTTATATTCAAAATATTCCTGGTCTTACAAGGAATCCAGCAATGTCAATTATATTATCCTAACTTTAATCTGAGGTATTATTTAATACTAAATGTTAAAAACCCTGGAAGGGAGGATTGGTGGGGGGTGGGGGGGAGGGTTGGGACTGACCGCGCGGTTGGAAGAGGGGGGGAGGCAAGGTGGGGTACTTTGATTGACAGATAGTGTCGTGAAGATTATTTTTTTTTTATTAACTGAAGATATTTGTTTTAGCTCATAAAATTCATACAAATTACCCGGTCAGAATATAATTTACATTGCTGGAATTCTTATAATTTGGTGATCATTTTGAATATAAACATCATATATTTTGCTTTAAACTTACAATTTTTAGATAAAAATTTTTCTCTAGGTAACTATGTTATCTTTTGTCCAAAATATATGACATTTATATTCAAAATATTCCTGGTCTTACAAGGAATCCAGCAATGTCAATTATATTTTCCTAACTTTAGTTTGAGGTTATCCCACACATCTCCTTGGGACGGTTGGTGGGGGGTGGGGGGGGAGGGAGGGACCGACCGACCATCTGTTAGCCGGCTGTGTAGTGTGAGAGGGGGAGGGAGTTGAGTCCATTATTTGAATGGACATTAACTTGGCGACTGTATTTCTCTATTTCTCTTAAGTATTAATTGTGTGCATGTACCATCATAAAATTAAGATGTTATTTTTACTACAACATAGGTATGTGCCTTCAAAAAGTGGAGTTTGGGGGTCGGGCCGGTTTCTATTGGAATTAATCCCATATGTTCTGTTGTTCACTTAACGCGGATTTCACTTAACACGGGACCCTCTGGGTTCAATTGACCGCGTTAAGTGGGGTACAACTGTACAAATTTTTTTTTTTTTAATTGATGAAAATGACAACTGATAAACAGTTCTAAGTCATGATATTCAAAGAGGTGTGTGTACTTGTGCTAAAAGGGCTGGATATCA